GGAGGCAGGTGTGGGTGTTTCACCTTTTCCACCCACATTTTGATGTTGACGGTACTGGTTGACCTTAGAGCTGAGGTGATAAAAAGATTATGCAACATGATACTAATGGTAGTAAAAGGGTGAATCAAGTTTTGATTAAATTATCTTGAGTGGATCAGAAATTATGACTAAAAAAAGCAAAAACTTTGTATAGACTTTGACCTTGATTTGTGACCTTGAACTTGAAGCTGTGGTGATGAAAAGTGTATGTGACACTCTGTCTGGTAATGATGCATGCGTGGTCATGTGTACAAGTTTTGTTAAAATTATCTCGAGCAGCTCAGAAGTCATGAGCGGGATAAGAAAAGTTTTCTCTACATATGTAAGTAAATACAGAGAATATACTATAATATATGTCCGCCTTTCAACTAATGTATACAAATGATAAGGTTATAGCCATTTTTGTGTTTGCTAAGGTCGATTACTTGTGGAAACCATCTTCAGTTGGGTTGATTCCAAAGTTTATGGCGGTGGTTGGTGACAGATACACTAACGGCACAGGGGCTGCACAGCTGCAGAAAGAAAAGCTTTGCAGAGAGTGGTGAAGGCTGCACAGAAGACTGTTGGAGTCAGTCTCCCCACCATCACAGACATCTACACCTCTAGATGCAGGAAGAGGGCCACCTGCATCATGAAGGACCCCACACACCCAGCACACACCTTTTGCCTCACTCCCCTCAGGAAGGAGGTTGAGGAGCATTAAGTGTAGAACCACTAGACTGAGGAACAGCTTCTACCCTGAGGCTGTTAGACTCATGAATATCTAACCAGGATAATCACTGTAATGCCACTTTAATTGGAGATTTGACACTTTATCTGTGCTGCTGATCATGCATGCTGCTGATTTCTTGCCTTTAAGCTGCTGTATTCATACCATCTGCTTACAACAGACTCATGTTCAGACTTCTGCTTAATACATTGTTTTATATTACATTATTATAGTTTTGCATATATTTTAGATCCTTATATACTGTTTCTTTTTTATACTTTATATTATTGCTATTGTTGGATGTAACTGGGACCTTGAGTACACAGTTTTGTTCCACCTCATGTACCATATGTGATGCAAATGACAATAAAGAATCTTGAACTTGAACTTTTGCTACCGTAAACCAGTTGATTTATTTCACTTGAGCTGGACCTGTGTTGACGTGATCCAGGGTGAAAAAAAACAACCTCTCCTGAGGCCCTGACCGACTTCTGAAGTCCTGCCAAGCCAGAGCAGCACCCAGTAGTTAAAGTGCTGCTATAGAAGGTCACTGAGGACGTGAAGGGTCCCTGCGTTCCCATTTTATGCATTTTTGTCTACTCTCATGGCTACTGAAAAGTAGACATTTGGATTTGGAGCCTTTTTTGACTTTTCTTGTAGACTTTAAGAGGGGACTTCAATTTCTGGGAGGATTTATTTTTGTCCAGTGCATTCACTAGTCAAATATGGAAGAGCAATGAAACGAGTAGACGTTTTGAAAATTTTATTTGAGATTGACATTTTAATTGACTGAATTTGCTAATTCTATAAAAAAATGTGGTTGTCTGTAACAATATTCCATCCATCCATCCATCCATCCATCCATCCATCCATCCATCCATCCATCCATCCATCCATTCATCCATCCATTCATTCATTCATTCGGGGCTGAGATGGGGTAGAGGTAGGGCAGTCGACTTGGGACCAGAAAGTCACGGTTCGACTCCCAGCCATTCCCACATGTCGTGGTGATTCTGAGCAAGACATATAATCTATAATTGCTCCCTGGGTGCTGACATAGCTGCCCACTGCTCCACCTGGTGTATCTCACATGTGATGGGTTAAAGAGAGAGAACTAATTTAGTCATTGTATGGGAACATACAATGATGACAATTTCAGACTCCCCTTTCCCTTCCCATCATCCATCCATCCATCCATCCATCCATCCATTCCATCTATTCATTATCTTTACCTGCTTCTTCCCTTTAGGTCACTGGTGCCCATGTCCAGCCGTCACTGTGCGAGAGACGGGGGACACCCTGGACAGATCGCAGGTCCATCACAGGGACACATAGACGAACAAGACAAACAATCATTCACTCTCTCACTCTCACCTAGGGATAATTTTAGAGTCACCAATCAGTCTAACATACATGTTTTTGGTCTGTGGGAGGAAACTGGAGTACCTGGAGAAAATCCATGCATGTAGAGAGAACATGCAAACTCCACCCAGAAAGGCCCCCGGCCGGGATTTGATCTGGCGACCTTCTCACTGAGAGGCAGCAGCTCTACCAACTGCGACACCATGCTGCCCAACAATATGACAATTTATTTAAATTTATATTACTCGCTATTCATCAAATTTATTAACTCTTTGCTTTGTGTCATATTACCCAGAGGCCAAATGTCACAAATCTTTGTTTCATTCAACCACAACAAACGTCTTTAGTCTTTTTAAATTATTTTGTTTAATGATACATATGCATGTATGTATGTATGTATGTATGTATGTATGTATGTATGTATGTATGTA